GAGAGCAGGCGGCTCTTTGGTGGTTCTAGCGATTGTCTTATCTGGTAAGTGATGCAGTTGCTGTATTTTTGCTAGATCTTCTTTTTATTTTATGTGATTTCATGTTCTTTTATTCTTTCTCTGTTTGAGAACAAACGCTGTAGATCTAGTTTTGTTTTCCGATAAATTGGTGCATGTTGGATCTGATTTAAGTTCAATGGTTCTATTGATGTATTTGATCGTAGAATGGCAGTTTCAACGACTTCATATTGTGTGCAATTATCAACACTGATTCTATAACTAGAAATTTCTGGGTTTTAGAGTGAATAAATCGCTAATAATTCTGTTTAGGATTATGATCTTTAATAGTGTTTGAATCAGTGTTACGTAAACCACTAACTCCCTAACGATCTTTAAATTTTGAAATGATATGCACTACCAGTCTAATTCAGTAAAACTAGCGGTCCCATTAGCAGATAGTTTCTTACTTATAATTATTCAGTAAAACCAGCGGATATGATTAGTTTGAACTAATGGAGACAAATCTTGTGTTTTAGCTTATTTATATATCTAGAATGGCGCAATATTTTATTTTATTTGTAATTATTTTCGTTATGCGTGAGAAGGCTCTAGAAAGTTCGTTAAAATGTTATTAATTTTGTTCTATGGTACACGTGGCAGTTTTAAATCGGATCCTGATTTATAGTTCAATTGATTACCTACTGTTAATCATCCATGATTAAATTTAAAAAATAATCTTTAAAAGGTTTCTATAATTGCCTCTATTGTAAGTTATTAACATTGTCTAAACTTCGCAAACAGGATGTCTCTTTGCAATCTCTATTGCAAAGGAGGAAGCAACAAAATTGGGGACCGTCATTGGAATTGATCTTGGTACTACTTATTCTTGTGTCGGTGTATATAAGAACGGTCATGTTGAAATCATAGCCAATGACCAAGGAAACCGTATTACACCATCATGGGTGGCTTTCACTGATAGTGAGAGGCTGATCGGTGAGGCTGCTAAGAATCAAGCAGCTGTAAACCCTGAGAGGACCATCTTTGATGTCAAGAGACTTATTGGAAGAAAGTAATTCACATTCATCTTGTGTTTCTCTTTTTAAGGTCTGATTGGGAAATTATTCTTACTGGGTATGCTTTTGTCCTTTTTGCAGGTTTGAGGATAAGGAGGTCCAACGGGACATGAAACTTGTTCCATATGAGATTGTGAACAAGGATGGTAAACCGTATATTCAGGTAAAGATTAAGGATGGGGAGACCAAGGTCTTCAGTCCTGAGGAGATCAGTGCCATGGTTTTGACTAAAATGAAGGAAACAGCTGAAGCTTTCCTTGGGAAGAAAATCAAGGATGCAGTGGTTACCGTTCCTGGTGAGCAGCACATTACTATAAACTTTATTCTGTCGTGGAAAAAGAGTCTGTTATCTGTTCGAGATTATGCTCAAATTATCTTTGTGTTTGATTTGCAGCTTACTTCAATGATGCCCAGAGACAGGCCACCAAGGATGCTGGCGTTATAGCTGGGCTCAATGTTGCTAGAATTATTAACGAACCAACTGCAGCTGCCATTGCCTACGGCTTGGATAAGAAGGGTGGTGAGAAAAACATTCTTGTCTTTGATCTTGGTGGTGGGACATTTGATGTCAGCATCTTGACAATTGACAATGGTGTATTTGAGGTGCTTTCTACAAATGGAGACACTCATTTGGGAGGTAAGCATCTTTCAAGTTTGCTTTAAGGTTTTTAAAATTTGATTTTGTTATGTGTTTTTGCTTATTGTCATTTTTCTTGCAGGTGAGGATTTTGACCAGAGGATTATGGAGTACTTTATTAAATTGATCAAGAAAAAGCACGGAAAGGATATCAGCAAGGATAACAGGGCCCTTGGGAAGCTGAGGAGGGAAGCTGAGCGTGCCAAGAGAGCTCTCAGCAGCCAGCACCAGGTCCGTGTGGAGATTGAATCACTTTTTGATGGTACCGATTTCTCAGAGCCACTGACCAGAGCTCGCTTTGAGGAGTTGAACAATGACCTGTTCAGAAAGACAATGGGACCTGTGAAGAAGGCAATGGAAGATGCTAGTTTGGAGAAGAACCAAATTGATGAGATTGTTCTTGTCGGTGGAAGCACAAGAATTCCAAAGGTTCAACAGCTTCTTAAGGACTACTTTGATGGAAAAGAGCCCAACAAGGGTGTTAACCCAGATGAAGCAGTTGCTTATGGTGCTGCTGTACAAGGTGGCATCTTGAGTGGAGAGGGCGGTGATGAAACTAAAGGTACATTTTTATCTCATGTAACATTGTCCATTATAACTGTACGTGCCAGTAGCCTGGTCAAACAGCACTAATTGAAACAAGTAAGGCTGATATTTGTTGTCTTTAATGCTTTATGTACAGATATTCTTCTCCTTGATGTGGCTCCACTTACCCTTGGTATTGAAACTGTTGGCGGGGTAATGACCAAGTTGATTCCCAGGAACACTGTTATCCCAACCAAGAAGTCACAAGTTTTTACCACTTATCAGGACCAGCAGACCACCGTCTCCATCCAGGTACATTTTACAGGCTTATCATTGGAACTTGGAAAATTCTTGCTTGAAAATTGGATTTTCTTTTCCCTGTTGAGAACAAGAAAAATTTGTACCTTATTTTAATTACCGTGTTCGATGACAGGTCTTTGAAGGTGAAAGGAGTCTCACAAAGGATTGTAGGCTGCTTGGGAAATTTGAGCTCACTGGAATTCCTCCAGCTCCAAGGTATGCTCTCTTCTCCATCTATTTTCCTTTGTTTTCTGTGTGTCTCACCTCAATTAACTGAATTGACTTTCTGATCCCTCATTTGCTCAGGGGAACCCCTCAAATTGAAGTTACATTTGAAGTTGATGCAAACGGTATCTTAAACGTTAGGGCAGAAGATAAGGGCACTGGAAAATCGGAGAAGATCACTATAACCAACGACAAAGGTCGTCTGAGCCAGGAGGAAATTGACAGAATGGTTCGAGAAGCAGAAGAGTTTGCTGAGGAGGACAAAAAGGTGAAGGAAAGGATCGATGCTCGTAACAGTCTGGAGACCTATGTGTACAACATGAAAAACCAGATTAACGACAAGGATAAGCTTGCTGACAAGCTCGAAGCCGATGAGAAAGATAAAGTTGAAACCGCTGTAAAGGAGGCCCTCGAATGGCTTGACGACAACCAGAGTGCCGAGAAGGAAGACTACGAGGAAAAGCTCAAGGAGGTTGAGGCTGTTTGCAACCCTATCATCACGGCTGTATACCAAAGATCCGGTGGAGCCCCAGGAGGTGGGGCGACTGAAGACGAGGATGATTCACACGATGAGCTCTAAAAATAAAGTCTCTAATTCCATCGACTGTGCATCTGCTGAACAACCAGGCTGGGGTGAGATGAGAGCGTAGTGTAGGTGAGATGAGGTTACTGTAATTTTTCTCATGGTAAAATTGCCCTTTTTTTTCCTGTATTTTTTTGTGTAAAACTATAAGCGATTTTGAAGGGATATTTCGTTTTGGCTACATGTTATATTGCTAAGTTATCCATAGTACTTTAGGGGGTGTGAGATCGTAAGCAAAGCTATACCTAAACAGAACAACCCGAAAATTATAAATCTTCAACTTGATTCGAACTCGATATGAAAAATATACACTTTTCACACAATCTGAACATGATTTGATTTTTTTTAGGATAAAATCCAAATTCTATTTAAAATAATATATATTTTTTAAAATATTATTTTTATTCAATAAAAATAAAGATTTAATTGAAAGTAAATAATATATAGAAGAGTATTATCGCAATTATTCTTAAATATAAAAGATAAAATCACAATTTTTATCAGGTATTTTTCACTCCAAACTTGAACTCAACCTGACCTGAATATAACCTTAAAATGAAACTTGACTTAACCCGATCCGAACCCAAATTCTTTTAAAAAAATCTGATTAGATCAAATTAGATTAAATCAAAACCCGTCGATTTTGGATTCCATATCCATCCCTAGCTATACTGTTATTTTGAAAAGTCATGGTAGGAGTTGGAACTTGGAAATGTTTTTTAAGGTTTAGAATTTATAACTGGAAATGCTCACGTGCGACAGTCTTAATATACGACTAAAAAAGACGCTATCGATTTTGTCCCACTTATAGCTGGAGTTGGAAACGATCATTAAAGTTGATGGATATTGATTTTTTTCTATATTATTTAATTCTAATCTATCAAAATTTAGATTGATCAATGAATCAAATATTATTTGATATATTAAAAGAGTCTGGCCATAAATACATGTATTTATTTTAAATCGTGAAACTTTTATTCACATTAATAATGTACAAAATATAAATTTTATTTTGGAAAATCAATGAATCAAATATTCATTTTTCATTTCTTCAAGTTTTTTATGGTTTCAATCTCTTTATTATATATAACACTTCAACCATTATAGAAAGCATGTTCAAAACCCTATATATAAACAAATGATTTAATATAAAATTTAAATATATTTTATTTTATTTACATTTTGTGTAATATTATAATACATGTATAAATCTATTGATTTTAAAAAAGTCGTACTAATAAAAAAATCACACATTAATTTTTTATTGATTGAATTGTTATTTAATAATAATCTCATATATAATAATAGTATATATTTATGAGTTGTCCATCTAGCTCAGTTGGTAGAGCGCAAGGCTCTTAACCTTGTGGTTTTGGGATAGAGTCTCACTGAGGGCAATCCATAACGGAGGTCTACCACGGAAATTGTTTTCAACCAGGCGTTGGGGGCAGCCTATCCCATTTTATATGGGAATAGGGTCAATTAATTTAATTTAGTATTTATATATGCTAATTTAATTTAGTATTATATATTTTACCAAAGATTTATCTCAAGTAAAAAAAAAAAAACAAAGTGCATCCGCTACTATTTCTACTCATGGAGCCCAAATCCTAAGCTTATGAAGTATCCATTTTCGTAACCCAAATAAACCTAAAACCCTAAATCCGTGGATTTGGGAAGAGCTGAAAAACCCTCACTTAACTCATTGAAGCTTGTCGAAGCAAAGCACCCCTTTGCAACAGATGGCGTCCTTAATCTCAGAAACAAGCCAAAAAGTTTTCACCCTCGAGACCCTCCGTGCAGCAGCGAAACAGTCTGAACGTTGCCTCGTGGTTCCCGTTCGACTTCGCCGAGCCATCAAGAAGTACCTCCGAGGTGATCCATCTATCCATCCTTGTAAATTTACTGACTGCTTCAATATCTGTATGCTCAAAATTTCGACCCGTGTTGGATTGTAGAGCAAGAGGACCCTTTTATGCGAAGAAAAGTGTTGCGGTTATCGGAGTCTTTTAGCAATATTAAAGACGTGAATCTGCAACTTGTGGCTAAGACTTCAAAGGAGCTAGTTGATGATCCTTTTAAGTCGATGGAGAAATCACAAAGGTGGAAAATCAAGAGTGCTTACGGTGATATCGGTCTCACTTATAGAGATGGTGAGACCGTTGCCTATGTTGCTTCCAGGATGCCCGCTGTTTACTCTGCTTGTTACCGGGTCCTTAGTGAGGTACTAAAATTTCATTCCTCTAAGTTGCTACTTTGATTTTAAGAATTTTGTGCCATGATAACCAAATGTTTTATTATTTCTGGGCATTTCCAACGGTCAACTTTGCTATTTTGTTACTCATTGTGGGGAACCGTTCTTTTTCTTCCCTTATTCTAGGTGAGGAGAAGATTGCCAGGTTTCTCTCCGACAAAAGTTTTGGATTTCGGTGCTGGCACTGGTTCAGCTTTCTGGTGCGAGTTTATTTGCTTTTATCTACAAGAAGCTATTTGCTAATTGAGTGTCTTGAAGTTATATAAAATTTGTTACACGTGTGTGAACTTTGTGGTGTTCTAGGGCTATGAGAGAAGTGTGGCCAAAATCTGTGGAGAAATTGAACATAGTGGAACCATCGCAATCTATGCAGCGGGCAGGTCGAAGTCTTCTACAAGGTAGTAATTATTTTTCTTCTCATTTTCCTTGAAATTGAATCTAATTGTTGCTGGGGAATGCATTTTTAGGGAGCTAGCAAATTAGCACTTCAGCTTCATCATGTTTATGCAAACTAGAAATTTTGAATATTGGCTATTATTGCATTTATATAATTGCATTACATCATAGTGAGTTATAGCGAATATCTTTGGGTATGTAACCGGATTGTAGAAAAGATTCGAAAGCAGGACTACCAATTGTCTTTGGTGATGATATAAATATATGGAACCATTACAAGTGAGCATAGAGAGCTTTCATTAATTTTGATCACTTGTGTCGTACATTTATATTAGGCATGATTGGGCATTTTCTGATGTTTTTATCTCATTTGTTTATGTTACTTTCCAGACCTGAAGAACTTGCCCATTATTCATGGTTATACTAGCCTTCTAGCATTTACAAAGGAGGTTAGAAAGTCTGAGAGGCAACATGATCTTGTAATCGCTGTAAGTTTGTAGTTCTACCTAAATTGTCATTGTTTTGCTGCGTATAGTTGGTACTAAAGAAATATATTGCCTCTTTTTTGGGGAAAGTCATATGTTCTTGGAGAGATACCATCATTGAAGGACCGAATTACACTAGTGCGCCAGCTTTGGAATCTGACACAGGATGTCCTGGTATGCCCTTTGAATTTTTATGAGTTTGTCATTGCATATGTTTTGTGGAGGATTGTCAATGATTTTGTATTGCTCCGTTTCATGTAATACAACTCAAACCAATTTACAGTATCCGTTCTACCCTGGCTGGGAAACCCTTCTGAAACATGTTGGGATGAACGGGTCTCCTGGAAAATTACTTGTAGATTATAGAAGTTGTTATTCTTGGAATATATATATCATTTTGGTACTTTGTTTTATATCCTATTTATTTCTGTTTTTCAAAAATCTGATTTTTGGCAGGTCTTGGTTGAACCAGGAACTCCACATGGATCTAATATAATATCCCAGATGCGATCTCACATATTGTGGATGGAAAGAAGAGTGAGTTTACCTTGTCTTCCTTTTTTTCTTCTGTTGACGGAAATTTTTGGCTGTGAGATTATTTGTTGTTTCATTTTTGGATATTCTCTCTCCATGAGTATATGACACCTTAGTATTTACTTCTTAGAAATGCCGTAAAGCCAAGGTGAACGAGGAAGATTCTAAGGACCTTATTGATCTTAGAAGTGGTGCATTCATTGTTGCTCCTGTAAGTGTGATGTATTCCCTCTAGTTTCCCTTCTTTTTTAGTTTTTTGGGACTAAAATACGGTGTGTACCTATTTATATTTCTTTTCTTGAGAAGACAATTTCAACTAAGCAACTTCCATGACGCAGTGCCCTCATGATGGTCGTTGCCCATTGGAGAAATCTGGAAAATACTGTCATTTTGTTCAACGTTTGCAGAGGACTACTTCACAACGTGCATACAAGGTTGCCCTGTAGTCCACTTACAAATAATGTCAACTTATCTAGTATTCCATGCAGTGTGTCAGCAAGCCTAAATGTCAACATATTCCATGCAACATGTCAATTAAATCTCAAGTTAGAGGAGCCAAAGAGTTCATCTTGAAGAAATCAGATTAAGTAAATTTGTATAGATTTCAATGCTCCTCTCTCATTCATCTATTTTGCAGCGTTCCAAGGGTGATCCTTTACGTGGCTTTGAAGATGAAAAATTTTCTTTTGTTGCTTTCAGAAGAGGACAACGACCTCGGTTAGTATTCTCAAGTCTCAACTGCCTCTTCGATTGGAAAATTTCATTAATGTTCTTTTCAGTGATTTGAACACCCAGGAAGCTGTATGTGTTCTGGTTTGAGTAACCCTGGTTTTTACCTAAAACCTCTGTGTTTAAGCATCACCAAAAAACATACACCCACCACACTTTTCATCATCACCCCTTTTCCTCTCTATTATTCATGCATTAATGTTAACTGCCATTATTAAATTAAAAGGGAACCTTGGCCTCTGGATGGTATGCAATTTGAAACTTTGAAAGAGCAGCGTGCTAAGAGAAATCCTGAAGATTTTGAAATAGACTACGGTATTGTCTCCATCACCCTTATTATTATTATTTGCTTTTCTTTACTCTTTAGTTTACTTTTGTTTCAAAAATGTGATGCAAACTTGGACAGAGGATCTAGACGATGTAGAAGAAACTGACGATATGATTCCATATGAAGAAGTGGATGCAAGTGCATATGACTCAGATGTTATGGAAACTGATAACATCGCTGATAGTGATGAAGATCAAGAAGATGAAACTGTTAATGCTAATCTTAGTGGTGGTTGGGGAAGGATCGTCTTTGCTCCTGTTCGAAGAGGCAGACAGGTTCACATGAATATTTGTCGATCAACCAATCCAGATGCCTCAGAAGGTTCATTTGATCGTGAGGTTATCACACAAACTAAGAATCCAACTTTGCATCATCTTGCTCGAAAGTCTTTCTGGGGTGACTTGTGGCCCTCTAGAGGGAAAGTAACTACTGATTCATGATCACCAAACATTAAACACAAATGATTTATTACTTAAAAAACGTTGTATATGAGCTGAATTCATCTTTGCTTGTGAGTCTCCTCTTCCACCGACAGCATATATGAATGACCGTCTTATCACAAATTTCAAGCTTGGTTCATGCACCTAACTCATTCTTTTCAAGGTTATGCAGCTAGAGGTAGGTGAACGATAACATTTGTCTTGGTGTGATTAAGATCAGCCCATCTTGATTTGGCTATTTCAGCTACAATCTTTTACTGGTTCAATTTGGATATGTCGGGATGAAATCTGGTAGTAGTTTTTGGGAGACAAGAACTCATCAGCATTACCTTTTGTCTCCCACCAGCAAAAGAGGGGAAAAAGAGAATCAGAATCTTCCCCAACTCCCAAGTATTCTATCCTGTTTGGTCATTAGGGACAATAAGGATGATATCTGGTCATTCTTGAGACTAAGATGGAGTTATGTGTAGGATTATACTTGTTCTACGTATTTGGGTCAGATAATCTCTTCAAGCCGTGGTAGTTAGATTAAGATCGGCAATCGACCAGCTTACTTATGGAAAATTGCAGGCCTATGAAGCTTATAAACTTTAGAATCTACTATTTCTTAGGACATCTGATCAAGCTTTGGATCTTGAATTCTTGATTCTTGAGCATTGTAAGGTAGTGTACTAGAAACTACAACATATTTGAGTTGTGGGAAATTGACATGGTAGTGACCCCAGGTTATTTGGTACCCCGTATGGGTTTCCACGTTGAAATCATTAGCTTCTAGCTATAGGGATGGGCATGGGACTTAGACCCGACGGGTTCTAACCCGATCATGTCAGCTTTTTATAAAAAATTCGGGTTCGGATCAGGTCAGATTTTTTTAAAGTTGATGTTCGGGTCGGGTTGGATTCGGGTTTACTCGACCTAACCCGGAATTTTTTTTACCTTAAATATTTAAGAATAATTATAATAATACTCATCTATATGTTATTTTTTTTCAATTAAATCATTGTTTTTATTGAATAAAAATAATATTTTATTATTATTTTGATCGGGTTAAATCGGGTTTGGATTTTATCTCAAAAAATCGGTCGAGTTGGGTCGGATAGAGTGTATATATTTTTCGGGTCGGGTGAAGATGTAAATTTTTTAGGTTGACCCAACCCATTCCTATTCCTATTTAGCTATGGTAGCTCCGCCTTTCTAGACCTGAAGGAATTAAGTATTAAATTTCAATCTAAATCTTCCCTTCAAAAGGAAGAAATTAGATTGAATCTAAGCTTTATGTGCAAGAAACATTTTAAAAATGAGGAATCGAGGGAATGGGAAACGTTTGGTGGTCCATAAAGGATAATACCTTATTTGGGACAACTGTGGGCTTGTTACAGGTTACCATACTACAGTGGAAACCAGGCCCCTCCCTTGAGCCACAACCAAACCAACCATGTGGCCTTCACTTTTTGACCCTCTGCTTCCCACCCTTTCGGCTGCTATGTATGTATCAACATCACTCCCCTCACCCTTGTTTTGCATTTTGTTTAAGTTAGGGTAAATTGTCTCAAGGTCACTGAACTTTTAAAAGGTATAAAATGGTCAACAAATCTATTGAACTGCTACGAAATAGTTTTGATTACATGTAAAAGTTTGATAAATTTAATCATCATTTTGTTATGTTTTAATAAAATCATCGATCGCTTTGTAACTTTTTAAAAAAATTGAAGACTATTTTGTGATTTTGAGAGTTTAAGGACCGAAACAATTACTTTATCATAGTTCAGTGATTCGTATTTCGCCTCTAAAGTTAAGATCATGTTTGTTTTCCAAAGCCGCGTTTGGCTGGCCCACAATTGTTGAAGTTCTTTGCAGAATTTTTAATTTAAGAAAGTCAGGCCGAACGCAACTCCAAACAAACCCCACATGCTTATCCAATGTTGAAGTCCCCTATGATCAAAGGTCAATATCCCTCCATGGCCCACTAAGTATTCTCTCTCTATTTCCACCCCATTAACATGCAACTAAGAATAGATTTGGGTGGTGGAAAATGGTGATCGAATTCATCACATATTTTAGTGGGGCCCTAGAAGATCTTTTACCTAAGCCAATCCACTGTTTTACTGTTTCGTTTGCTGATTTAAAAATTGAAAATTCATCTCATCTCGATCCACTCTCATGTTTGACGATGAATAATTTTTTTATTAATTAATAACTTTTTTTTCATTTTTATTCGATGGTATAAAAATAATTGATATTTTAATAATTGTTGTTAGAAATAAGGAGAGAGTGTTACATAATTATTTCAACTTTGAAATATTTTTCATAGATTTTGCTCTATCCCATCTCGAATTTCTCTTCAACAACACTTATCTAATCTATTTTATATTAGAATTAAAAATAATAATTTTATAAAATCGAGTTAAAATTAGTCAAACTAGTATTTTAACCATGTTGACCTTTAATCTATGACTGTACACGGACAGAAAAAAAAAACTGTGACAACCATAAATTTTAAATTAACTTTCAAATAATCATTCACCTCTTATTTATATGTAAAAAAGAGATAAAAATCATCATAAAAAATAATATAAAGAACAATTATTAATTAAGATTACAAATGATATGATGAGTCGAAATTATCTAATAATTTATTTATTTTAATTGATGACATGGATTCACCATATGAAGTCACATGCGGTCATCGTCTAAAGATGGGAGCAGTCACGTGACATGATGCGAATGGGGCTCAGGGTCAGTAATATGTTGTTGTTTGGGATATTGGAATCGGACGGCTCTGATTTGAGTCATTGCGTCTCTTGATTTGGTTTAGTTTGGTAAGGAGTAGAGATATTAGACGATCAGTGATGAAGCATGCGCATGGGGTCCACCACCACCGCTGTCGCTTATCGCTTGTTTTTCGCTTTCGAACGCCGCCCTCTGCCACGCTCCAAATTCGCGGACCTTTTGATTCCCCGTTTCGAAATTCAAATTGAATGGGTGGGCACGTTGGGTGAAGTAGGGATAGCAAAAAAAAACTGAACCCGTCGGATAAAATCGAAAATCGAATTAAATAGGTCGGGGATGGGGGAAAATCGAATTTTTTAAACGGGGACGGGACGGGTTTGGTAATCCCCTCCCCGATTACCCGAATACCCGACCTGATAAATATTAAAAATAAATATATATATATATATATATATATATATATATATATAATATTAATAAATTTAATTTAAATTAAAAAAAATATATAAAGGAGATTAGGATTTAGGAGAACACATCTTGACCTACTCGTCACTTTCTTGTAGCTGCTCTCAAGTCTTGCTTCGCCGATCTTCACCTTCCTTGCTCCGATGCTGGTGACTTCACTTCGCCAACCGATCTTCCTCTTCCTTAGTGACTTCTACGGTTGATCTTCCCCTTCCGAGTTCCGACCTTCCCTCTTCACTTCTCATCCGATTGTATTTGAGGTTAGTCTTGCATCTTTATGTTTATTAGCATGTGATGGTAGTAGCTTCTGTAAACCAATTTTAATTGTCTGTAATTAATTTTACGGTTGTAATCTTGTTCTTTTACTCATGGTAGTAGCTTCTGTAATCAATTTTAATGGTTTTGCATCTTTATGTTTACTAGCATCTTCTTCCTGTGTATATAAAATTGTTGGGCAACAGTATGGATTTTGAGAAAATATGAAGTACAACACCTTATAGCTGTGGTACAACTTCCTATGCATTCAGTTCAATGTGTATACATGAAGTACAACATCTTATGCTTGCAGTACAACACCCATCTGTGTGCAAGTCCATGCAACCTGCACTTTTATATGTGCTGTTATCTATCAGTTTTTTTAATTCCTCAGTATTGTTTTTGTTTGCCAGTTAATTTGGCAGTGGGTAATTTTAGTTGCTTTTATATTTCTACTTCTGGATGGGATGTACCTGAATGATAAATGTGAAATTAGTGTTTCAAGTTTGATAAATGGCCTTCAATCTTGTTTGTAAACTGATGCATTTTAGGAAAAATAGTTACAATTAAATGGTCTTCAATCTTGTTTCAAGTTTGATAAATGTGAAATTAGTGTTTGAAAATATGACTTGGTTAATATATGGAATTATGGATCTGCTATTATTGTTACTATCAAGTATCAAGTTATTATTCTTAGAATCGATGTGATTTTACAGCAAGTGCAAGTCCATTCTTAAGTCCATTTTTGTATGATAGTTGAGAACATTAATTATCTAATTATTACTACTTCAAACCATAGAAATCACCTGCTAAATGCTAATACCATTTCTGATCATTAATAGTTATTTTTCTTAATGAAGGTTGTTTCATAGCAATAATGGAAGGTCAACGATCCATAGATGATAATTCTAATGCACGGGCACAATCACAATCACAAGCTGAAAGCAATAACATGACTCAATCATCTCCGATGCCAAATAACCAAGGCCCATCCATTTCACCCATAGAAGAAGAACAAACACAAATCGATTATAGCAATGTTGGTACAAATAGTAGAAAGCGAAAACTTACTTCAGTTGTATGGAATCACTTTGAGAAGGTGAATGTTAACGGTGAGGATAAGGCAGAGTGTCGTTATTGCAAGAAAAAATTAGGAGCAAATAGTAAGAAAGGGACACAACACTTGCATGATCATTTCAAGAGTTATCCAAGGTGAACTTGTAGAGATACATCAACAAGTGATTGGGATGGGGAAAAAACAAAGGATGGGCAAACAAATCTATAATGCTTAAATTTTGACCTCGAAAAATCAAGAAAAGATCTTGCAGAGATTGTAATAGTGCATAAATATCCACTTGTAATGGTGGAACATCATGGGTTTTGAAAGTTTATGGTTGGTCTTCAACCTTTATTTAAGGTTCCATCTAGGAATACCTTAAAAATGATATTCTCAAGATTTATGACTTCGAGAAAGAAAAAACAATGTGGTATGTTTATTTGTTTAATAGGTTTCTAATTTGTATCTTGTATTTATTTGGTTTCTAATTTGTATGTTGTATTTATTTCAGTCTATTGGAGAAGAATCGAATCAAGATTGCCATTACGACAGATATGTGGACATCAAGTAATAAAAAAAAGGTTTCATATCAATCACATCGCATTTGATCGATGATAACTGGGAGACGCAAAGCCGAATAATGAGGTACTTTAAACTTACCTTTGC